GATACATGGTGAGTGGTCTATGGGGACACAGTAGGCCATGAAACTTGCAGAGCTGGAGTTCAGGGATGAAGTGGGAACTTAGGGGTTCTTTGAAAGTCAGTTGGAGCCGGGCAGTGGTGGTGCACACCTTTAATCCCAGCACTTGGGAGGCAGAGGCAGGCGGATTTCTGAGTTCGAGGCCAGCCTAGTCTACTGAGTGAGTTCCAGGACAGCCAGGGCTCCACAGAGAAACCCTGTCTCGAAAAACCAAAAAAAAAAAAAAAAAAGTCAGTTGGATGGTGTTTTGCTGGGGCAAACACGTGAAAAAGTGTTTCTGTTAAAGTGGACACAGGTGAAAGGCTGAGGCAGACTCGTGAAGGAACAGTTCACCGGAGCAGACACAGGAGAGAGGATGTTCTGCCGAAATAAACACGTGAAAGGAGATGTGATGAAGGAATCTTCGTTAAGGACACGCATGGGTTGGTCCACCTTACATTGTGCAGTTGAGCTGCGATTGTCAGAACTCCATAGAGAGAAACGCACCAGACGCTTCTGGAGGCGTGCTGCAGTTTCTTGCTGCTTCAAAGGACTCAGGCTGATTAGGAGAGTGAGGTCAGCTGAGACAGACACACATGCTGAGGCCAGACCCTGTGGAGGACACGTGATGTTTGGAGGGTAGAAATAGGACTCGCTGGCCGATGACCAAGGCTGAGCTTGGCTTGATTATAGAGCGAGCTGTGTGACACTTGTTCCTCTCTCCGATCTTCGCTTCCCTGAGAGAGGCACAGCTGAGAACTCCTGGTGTCCCTCCAGGTGCCTCCTGCTGACCTGAGCGGAGGCTGAGGCCTGGCAGTCTGTGCTAGGTAGTGCCAAGGATACTGCTTCGTGTTTGCTATCCCAACTCTATCCCCTGCTAACCTATGATCTGAACTGTTGATTTCCAGACAACACAGACAGGAGTTGCCTCAGAGAACCTTTCAAAACAGGTCCACTCCCCCCCCCCCCCCCCGTGTCCCTACCCAGTATCCTTTCTTTTTCACTACCTCTGGTGGCTGGCGGGCTAAAAGGGAGGTTAAAGTGTTTAAGAACCATCATTAAAGATAGGTTTTGAAAAACATTAAAGTTACAAGGGGCCATAGAGATCTGGAGACAAGGATTCAGTCTCAGAAAAGGGAACTGAGCTACAGTAGTAGGTAGTGTCCGCAGGGTCCAGCTAGATCCCTAGAGGACATTGTAACTTCAAATTTTCAAAGCCTACTTTTAATGATGGTTCTTAAACGCTTTAACCTCCCTTCTAGCCCACCACCCACCAGAGGTAGTGGGAAAGAAAGGATACAGGGGAAGTGGACTTGTTTAGAAAGGATCTTTGGAGCAAATTCTGTCTGTGTTGTCTGGAAATCAGCGGTTCAGTTCACAGGTCAGCAGCAGCAGCTCGATCCCCTCGAAAACACTTTCCGGACACACCAGCAATCCATTTCGGTAGAGTCGGGCTAGCAAACACGAATCAGCAGCAGCGGCATGACCTAGCAGACACAGCCAGGCCTCAGCCGAATGGGCACAAGTCAGCAGAACAAGGCAAGAAGTGTCGTACCTTAGGGCAGTGGGGTGTCAGAAGGGTTTTGAGCAGGATTGGGGGAGCTTAGAGTTTTGAGCTCTAGTTCAGAAGTCCCTGTCATTCGTCATATACACACATAGATGAATAAATGTAATTTTTGAATTAAACAAATTTGCCAGCCAGGAGTGGTGGTGTATGCCTTTAATCCCAGCACTCAGGAAGCAGAAGCAGACGGATCTCTGTGAGTTAAAGGTCAGCCTGGTCTACAGAGTAAGTTCTGGCACGACAGGGCCATACAGAGAAACCATGTCTCAAAAAACAAAAAAGCAAAAAAAGCAAAGCATACAGAAAAAAAAAAGAAAAAATCACTGGCTACTTTTCCAGAGGAGCAGGGTTCAATTCCTAGCACCCACATGGCAGTTCATAACTGTCTGTAACTCCAGTTCTAAGAGGTTCTCTCTTCTGGCCTCCTTGGACACCAGGCACATGCACGCTAAACACTCATACTTATAAAATAATTTTTTAAAAAAACTGCTGGGCGGTGGTGGCGCATGCTTTTAATCCCAGCACTTGGGAGGCAGAGGCAGGTGGATTTCTGAGTTCGAGGCCAGCCTGGTCTACAGAGTGAGTTCCAGGATAGCCAGGACTATACAGAGAAACTCTGACTCGAAAAACGAAACAACAACAACAAAAACCATACAGTTTTGTTTCCTCCTTGTCTGCAGGCTCTGATGTCACACCTGAATACAGACAGGACCACAGGCTAAGGAACTGGGAGCTGTTCTGTGGACAGGAAGAAGGTACGTTTCCTGGCTGTGGTGCACCCCATGTATATATGAAACCGAGCAAGAGGATCAGCTGTGTTGGTCATGCCGGAGCCTGATGAAGGACCTGAGTGAGACCTTGGAAATACCTGCATAAAGGTGGCCTGGGCCATGGAGGAATACCAGCTCTGGCTGCTTCTGGTTACCTCAGTCATATTGTCCTAACCCCTGACACCTCAGGACGGGTCAAACTTCTGTTCCAGCTGAGGCTGCAGGTCTTAGGGGAAGAGGATAGGGGGAAGGGGCGCCCCAACTAGAAGTCTGAGTCAGATCACACTTTAGTTACCATAGAAATGGTGAGCTTTTGGATTGGTTTCATTCTGTCAGTGAGCTTGAGGGCCTGATTCCCATCTGCTCCTCCTTCCTGGTAAAAAGAGAATTGACTCTTGTAGGTTGCCCTCTGATGTCCACATGGCACACACGGAATATGTGTAATAAAAATTGTAAAGAAATTAAAAATAGTATTTAAATTAATTAAACACTTAGTTGTTTCTGAGATACAAGGCCTGTGTAGCCCAGGCTGGATTCAAATTTCATCAGTCCTCTTGCCTCAAAACTAGTGAGTGCTGGAGTAACAAGTGGGTGCCACCATGCCCTGCTAAATTAATTTTTTAAAAGATTTATTTACGATGTATGCCTTTAATCCCAGCACTCGGGAGGCAGAGGTAGGCAGATCTCTGAGTTTGAGGCCAAGCCTGGTCCACAGAGTGAGTTCCAGAACAGCTAGGGCTACACAGAGAAATCTTGTCAACAAAAACAAAAACTGATTTAGTGTGTGTGTGCGTGTGCACGTGATGGCCATATTAGGACATTGGATTCCCAGGAGCTAGAGTTTACAGGTTGTGTGGACTTATTCTGTGGTGGCTGAGAACCCAACTCAGCCCCTCTGTAAGAGCAGTTATGTGCTCTTAACCACTGGCCCTGTCTCAAACTCTCTCTGTAGCTGAGTTTCATGACCTTGAACTCCCGATGAATTCCCTACCTTCTCCTCCAGAGTGCTAGGATGACAGACTTTTGCCATCACGCCCCATTTCCAACTTTATATTCATCAAGAAAACGTTTCTTATCAAAGCCTTCAGAAATAATGAGAGTCAACCCTGTCTCCCTCTTCCCCTCCCCCACCCTGTCGTTCACCCACTCTAAGGTTGCTATCCTCTGCTTCCGTGGGATTCTTCCCTTCAGAAGCCTCAGTTAACCTTGGCCCTGTCCTTGTCTGCTGGATCCTGGTTTTTTGGTTTTCTTTTCTGAAACAGCCTCTCTGCAGCCCAGGCTGGCCTGGACCTCATAGATATCCCCCTGCCTCAGTCTCCCTGGTTATACAGGAAGAGGGGCTATAGTAACAGCACTTGGGAGACTGAGACAGGAGGATTGTTAAAAGGCCAGCCAACCTGGGCTATACAGGGAGTTACAGACCAGTCCGGGCCACAGTATGAGACCTTGTGGAAAATTCACTACCCACCCAGAAACGTTAATTAATAATAAGAAATCAGGCTGAGAGGCCGGGTGGTGGTGGCGCACGCCTTTAATCCCAGCACTTGGGAGGCAGAAGCAGGCGGATTTCTGAGTTCGAGAGTTCAAGGCTAGCATGGTCTAAAGAGTGAGTTCCAGGACAGCCAGGGCTACACAGAGAAACCCTGTCTCGAAAAAACAAAAAAAAAAAAAAAAAGAAAAAAAGAAAAAAAAAAGAAATCAGGCTAAGGATGTAGCCCCTTAGTAGGGCGTTTGCAAAGACCTGGATCTAGGTGGGTAATACACAAACCAAGAGCGCCATCCCTAGAAGGCAACAGAGGGCTGTTTATGCGACTCAATAGCAATGCAGGCTCTGTACTTCCTCTGTGTTTGGGATAGGCTAAGGGGAGAGAGTGGTGGGAGGCGTCACCTGTTATTAATCTAACTTTAAATCCGTCCAGTGCATCAGCCTGGGCTATACGAGATCCTGTCTCATAAGACCTAAATAAATAACATACTTGTTTTTAAACAGTCCTGCTAGGATAGAGTATGAGATCCAGAAGCCTCGGATTTTTCTTTTTAAATTTTAATCTCTAAAAATATAAATTGACTTAAAGGAAATACCGTCATCCCAGCAGACTACCAGAAAACCCACCACCTCCGTGACCGCCCCGACAGTTCTCCCATCCCATTGCGTGGGCTGTCTTCTCTTGAGCTTGCCCCTCTTTCAGTTACATTATTCAATCTTGATCTCCCCATCTTATCTTCAAGCGTCTTCAACATTAATCTTATGATTTTTTTTTCACTAAGAGCCCATGGAATAAAAATTCACATTTGTAGAAGGGGGCGTAGAGGAAACTGGGGTGGCGTACAGCGAAGCCCATCCCCCAGTTCCTGTGCTTCTCTCCACCCAGACCAGGTTGCTCAGGACCACCCCTTTCCCTGTTGCAGGGAGTCAGCCGACGACGCGCACACTGCGCAGGCTCCTCGCTGCAGTGGGCGTGATCCGAGGAGGTCCCGCCCCTTCTTTCCTCCCGCCCCTACTCAGCTGCTCCGCCAGAAGCTGGGGCCCCACCGAAGTAGCAGCTAACATCGGAGTAAGGCCAGTGTCGTTTTAGGGTGAGGGGGCTGGGATGCGGGAGAGGGGGTAGGATCGGGAGGCTGCGTTGGCCTTGGGATGTGAGCCTCAGATGTCTGGTCAGGCAGGTACCTGGGACTAGGCTCTACCTGGAACATGCCGTGAGTCATCCCAAGATTGAGGAAAAACCAGGCACAGAGATTCGGGGCTCCCTTGGCCCCCAGCTAGGACTGTCCTTTTGGAATTACTTAGGTTCGAGCTCAGCAGGGAACAAAAAGGGTTGCTGATAGGGAACAGATAGGGAGCAACGTGGGTGCTGATGACGGACATGCTGGAAGCTTTGAAAGGCAGCAGGACGATGGCACGGGAGTGGGAAAAAAAAAGCAGAGGCGTTGGACCTCGAGGGATTTCCACATCCCTGCTGACCAGCGACCAGTTTCCTCCTTTTGGGGTGATGGGCACAAGGCCAAGGGCCCCGGTGATTATGGGAGAAGAAAGAGGCTTTTACTGGATCTCATAAGCCCAAAGACATCCACTTTCTTTGATGCCCCTTCAAAGCCCAGAACGCCCCCACACAGTGCCTGCTTTTTGTTTCTCCCAGTTTCCAGTCCCTGACACACCCACCTCGCCGCCTCCGTTCTGCAGAGTCCCCCAACTGCCAGGCAATATGAAGCCTAAACTGATGTACCAGGAGGTAGGAGGATGGGGTGCCTAGTGGGGAGGGTTTGGGTATCTCGAAGGGTAGGAGACCACCAAACTATCCTATTATTTCCGCTCCCCCATCATCCCGGATCCCACAGCTGAAGGTCCCTGTCGAGGAGCCTGCGGGAGAACTGTCCATGAATGAAATCGAGGCATGGAAGGCAGCAGAGAAGGTAGGAGTAAGCTGTTCCCTTTGAGCAATCTCAGACTGCCAGTGACCACCTTGTATAGGCTGACAGCTTCCTTCCCCTCCTCACAGAAAGCCCGCTGGGTCCTCCTGGTCCTTATCCTGGCAGTAGTGGGCTTCGGTGCCTTGATGACTCAGCTGTTTCTATGGGAATACGGGGACTTACATCTCTTTGGACCGAATCAGCGCCCAGCCCCCTGCTATGACCCCTGCGAGTAAGTGGGAGGAAGCTGGATTGTGAGTGGGAGGGGTCCTGCCAGCCCAGGGACACTTGAGCCTGCAAGAGCATCCAGGGCTTTGGTGCACCCAGTGCTGTGATGAGGGGATTGTGGGTGCCCACGTCCATGCCCACTCTACCCCCTCCTTCCTGTTTCCATGGCAGCCACTGCGTCATCATCCTTTATACAGGTCTGTGAACACATGGGCACAAGTATCTCCCATCTACATCTGTGGATACACACACACACACCCCTCCCACTTCTCTAGACAGACCAGTGAGATCCACAACCAGTCTTCCATCCACATCTGGAGACTTGCAAAGCCCTTCTTTCTTAACCTATCCTCTCTGGCCCTCTGTGACTGACAGATATCCCTCTGTACCTTCAGGGCGGTGCTGGTGGAGAGCATTCCTGAGGGTCTGGAGTTTCCCAATGCTACCACAAGCAACCCCTCCACTAGCCAAGCCTGGTTGGGCCTCCTTGCCGGTGCTCACAGCAGCCTGGACATCGCCTCCTTCTACTGGACTCTTACAAACAATGACACCCACACGCAAGAGCCCTCTGCCCAGCAGGTACCTGGAAGCCTCCCTTCTCACCCAACACCCCACCCTCCCCCATGGCTATGGGAATGGTGGCAAGGGAGGGGGAGGGGCTTCCTGCCAACCTGGAGACAGGTGCATGTGTGTTTAGTTAAGAGCTGTCTTCACACACCCTTCTGAACTAAGGGTGATGTTTTTGTGTTCTGATTTTCCGGAAGCCTCGTCAGGGAACAGCTTTGGTTGTGATGATTTAGGTTTGACGATATCACCTTGAATCCTTCACACAAAGAAGGAACAAGTTATAACCCAGCCCAAGCCAGGTTGCCACCTCCCTTGCTGTGTGTGACCTTAGGCAGGTTTCCTCCCTCCTAGACTTCCTCCACCTTATCTGAAAATTGCAAACATGGGTCTGCTCCACCGCTGGGCTCCTATGAGGATGCAGTGTTAGTCCTGTGCTGGACACAGACTCAGCTCTCTTGGAATGTTCATTGTTGCTGGGTGGCAGCAGTAGTGGTAGGACACACCTTTAATCCCAGCACTGGGGAGGCAGAGGCAGGTGGATCTTTGTGAGTTCCAGGTCAGCCTGGTTTACAGAGTACATTCCAGAACAGCCAGGGACACAGAAATCCTGCCTCGAATTGAAAGAAAGAAAGAAAGAAAGAAAGAAAGAAAGAAAGAAAGAAAGAAAGAAAGAAAGAAAGAAAGAAAGATGGATGGATGATTGGCATAAGAGTGCTAAAATCCCAACATTTTGGAAGCTGAAGGGGTGCAGAGGAACGGATGTAGAGTTCCAGGCCAATCTGAGCCACTGAGCCACAAAGCAAGACCTTTCACAGGCAGGCAGCAGGCAGTGGACCACACACACACACACACACACACACACACACACACACACACGCACACACTGTATAAGCTCACACCTCTTCCAGGCTCCCCACAGAAGTATATCAAAGCACAGATATAAGCTGGGCCCTGTGCTGCAGGATGATAGATAGTCCCAGCTACTCAGAGGCTGAGGCAGGAGAGTCTCAAGTTCAAGTCCTGCTGCAGCTACAAATCAAGTTTGTCATCAGCCCAAGCAATATAAGGAGGCCTTGTGTTAAACGAAATTAGAAAAGTGGGTACTGGTAAGATGGCTGGCGCAGCAGGTAAAATTGCTGGCCATACCAGCCTGACTGGATTCCATCCCAGGAACCCACAGTAGGAGAGAACTGATTCCTGAATGTTGTCCTCTGATGTCCACATGCACGTGTATGCACACACACACACACACTCACACACACACACATGTGCACACACAAATAAAATCTTTATTAAAAAGGGGAGTGTGTATGTAACTCTGGGCTAGAGCACTTACCTGTTATATGCAAGGCTCTCCAGGTTCCATGCCCAGCACATGCACACGCACATGCACGCACAGAGAAGGAAAGATGAAGGGTTTTAGTATTGTAATCTATGAGTCCTCTAGTGTAAGGTGAAGCCTGTTCGTTCTTATGGGGCACCTGTGAGGGTGATATTAGAGCACTGGCTGGCCCAGCCCCTCAGCAGCTGTCTCCCACAGGGTGAAGAGGTTCTTCAGCAGCTTCAGGCTCTGGCACCCCGAGGAGTAAAGGTTCGCATTGCTGTGAGCAAACCCAATGGACCTTTGGCAGATCTGCAGTCTCTGCTGCAGAGTGGTAAGCGGGCAACAGCAGGGTTGGCAGGCCTGGGGCTGCCCAAGCTGGCCCCTGACTGCTGCCCCTGTTGACCACAGGTGCCCAGGTCCGCATGGTGGACATGCAGAAGCTGACCCATGGTGTCCTGCACACCAAGTTTTGGGTGGTGGATCAGACCCACTTTTACCTGGGCAGTGCCAACATGGACTGGCGGTCGCTGACCCAGGTCTGTATGTACCCTGCCCATATTCCTTGCCTCTTCCTGAACCTCCCTATGTATCCCTGCAGTTCAGTCCTCAACTGCCTTGTTCCTGCTGCTGCTAGGGTTCCCCTGGGTCCTGTCCACTGGCGTGGCCTCCGTTGTACATTTCTTGTGTGTATTCGAACCCCATCTTTTACCTGGGGGTCTCTGGGAGCATGAGCTAATGTATAGGTTTCCTGAATAGGAAATTCAGTGTGGAGCCTGGCCTGTCATCAGGCCGCCTCATCCCAGATAGCTCTGGGCCAGGATAGGGAAGAAACGGGCAAAAGGCTGGGGTGAAATAACAGTACAGCCAGCATCAGGGTGGGATGGGGGTCATGGGTAGGGTGTGGGTACGGGCAAAGATGAGGTACAAAATGAGGGTAGAGGTGGAAGACGGGGGGTGGGGGGCAGGGTGGGGCACAAGAGGAATGGTTAAGGACAGGATTAGATGCTGTAGGCAGAGACTGTAGCGTGGGAAGAAGGTATAGACAGAAGATCCAGCTGGGATGGAGGTCCTGAGAGTGAGCTGGGCCAGGGTAGGGATGGAAGTAGATAAAGGGTCAAAGTTGAGATGGAATGGAGATGTAAGGTGGGGGTTGGGGGTGTAGGCAGGATTTTGGAGGTGAGGTTGGAAGCTGGCAAGGACAGAGGGGTCAAGGATAGGATGGGGAGGTTGAGGCAGAGGATTTAGGGTGGAATAAGGAGGCACAAGCAGAGCTCAGGGCTGGAGGGGAATGCAGTGAGCTGACTGTAGCAGTCCTAAGGAGATATCTGATCCAACCTGGGAGCTTAAGGAAGAGTCCCCAAAGAAGGAGATAGTTTATCTGCTGGAAGCTTCAACAGGTACTAGCACAAGAGGGACCAACTCTGGCAGTGCTGTGAAGGAGAGAATGTGACGCTAATTCACCTCAATAAATACTTCCCTAGGCTCCCAGTCTCAACAGTGATCAGGGGTACGCTGAAGACACAGTCTTCCTCTGTGCCTGTCTTCCCGCCCAGTGGGAAGTACCTGGCTTATTCAGAGGAGCCAAAACCTGAGACTGAGCCGGAGCTGGCTGGCACAGGGCAAAGTCTCAGGAAACACACAACTCACAGGACCTGGTGCTACAGTCCTGTCATCCCAAATCCTTAGGAGGCAAGCTGATTAAGAGTTCAAGGCCAGGCCGGGCGGTGGTGGCGCACGCCTTTAATCCCAGCACTTGGGAGGCAGAGGCAGGCGGATTTCTGAGTTTGAGAGTTCGAGGCTAGCCTGGTCTACAGAGTGAGTTCCAGGACAGCCAGGGCTACACAGAGAAACCCTGGCTCAAAAACAACAACAACAAAAAAAAAAAAAAGAGTTCAAGGCCAACCAGAAGAACTCAGTGAGACCTTGTCTCAAAACAATAATTTTAAAGGGTAGGGGCTGTATGTACCTCATAGTAAAGGACCTATTTAGAATCCCCTGGTGAGGGCCTAGGCTGTGGCTCAGTGGCAGTGCACCTTACTGGGTTTCAACACCCATTACCACAGGAAAACAAAAACCCTGGAACTTGGCCATAACCGAATGTTTCTTCAAAATGTAAGTCAAGTTTATAGCTGTCCATTTAAGTCCTGGGATGCTAGCTCTTTAGAATGGAGGTGCAGGAAAGACTGAGGGTCAGAGAGAGGAATTGGCTAAGGAGGTAGGTAGAACAAGAGCATCCCCGTCATCTGTGAGCGCCGGGCCAGCATCCTCAGCTCAGCACTGTTCTCCCATAGGTCAAAGAGCTGGGAGTGGTCATGTACAACTGCAGCTGCCTTGCTCGAGACCTCACCAAGATTTTTGAAGCATACTGGTTCCTGGGCCAGGCAGGTAGCTCCATCCCGTCAACCTGGCCACGGTCCTTTGACACACGATATAATCAAGAAACGCCAATGGAGATCTGCCTCAATGGTACCCCAGCTCTGGCCTACCTGGCGGTAAGTTTGGGAGAATAGGGCCTCACGCTATCGCTTTTGGTCACAAGCCATCACTTGAGGCTTCCACCTAGCCTGCCCGCTGATCGTTAGAGAGGGAGCCTGAACTTCACTCTTGGTCTGTCTACTTCATCAAAAACCAGTGCAGTGTCTCAAGCTCCCTCAGCATTGGATTAATCTGGAAAATGGGTATCCAGGCATTTTCAACCTCTGTGTGAGTTGCACATGGCCTCAGCTCCTCTGATACAGCCAGGGTAGCTCTTTCTGTGTGTCCCTATGCTTAGTTTGAGACAGAGTCTCAAGCAGCCATGCTGGCCTTGAATTATGTACCTGAGGATGGCCTCAAACAATGTCAAAGGAGTTTTTGTTCTTTGTTGTGTTTGTTTGGGGTTTCACTGTGTAGCCCTGGCTACTCTGGAACTCACAGAAATCCATCTGCCTTTGCCACCTGAGCGTTGGAATGAAAAGTATGGGCATCATTCCGAGTTGTCTTTTTTTTTTCTTCCAAAGTTTATTTTATTGGCCAAGCATGGTAGTATACACTTTTAATTCCAACACTCAGGAGAATCTCTGTGAGTTCAAGGCCAGCCTGGATTCTATAGCAAAGAGACCCTGGAGTGTCAGGCACTGTGGGTGCAGGGAAGCATGATCTTTGGTGCCCTTTGTAACCAGTCTTTCCTAGAGAGGAGTGCTTCCTCCTTCTGTGCCTACTTCTACTTTTAGAGTTGCAGTTTCCTCAGGGACCCGAGCAAAGGGACTCTCGTGACCTCTGACTCATGAGGGGTTGCCTGGTCAGGGATGACGTGACAGAAAAAGTGTGAATACAGCAAAGGTCTCCGCCAGTTGCCTGGAGGACTCACTAAAACCCTTGCAAGGGTGTCCTCTGACTTCCACCTACACACTGTGGCACATGTATAACACGCATGCACACATTTACCCTACATACTATTCATCATACATATGCATACATCAAGAGAGAAGAAAATTGCCGGGCGGTGGTGGCGCACGCCTTTAATCCCAGCACTTGGGAGGCAGAGGCAGGCGGATTTCTGAGTTCGAGGCCAGCCTGGTCTACAGAGTGAGTTCCAGGACAGCCAGAACTACACAGAGAAACCCTGTCTCGAAAAAACCAAAAAAAAAAAAAAAAAAAAAAAAAAAGAGAGAGAAGAAAATTTTCATTTTAAACAAGTTTCCAAGTAACAAAGTGCCCCTATTGCTGCTGGATCAGGAAACACCCAAGAGTATGAATTCTGGAACCAAGCAGTCAATCCAGGCTGCACTGGTTGGCTGTGTGACCTTAAGCAAGGAGCTTACCCTTTCTGAGCCCGTTTCCTCACTTGCAAAACAGATAAGGTAAACGTCCTTCCCTTTCATGGAGGCTGTTTTTAGTGAGTTCCATAGGGCCTACCTGCTTCGTGGTGAACTATTCTCACTTGGGGTCCACCATGACACTGCCTCTGACTGTCGTTTCACCCCAGAGTGCACCCCCACCACTGTGCCCAAGTGGCCGCACCCCAGACCTGAAGGCTCTGCTCAACGTGGTGGACAATGCCCGAAACTTCATCTACATTGCGGTTATGAACTACCTGCCTACCATGGAGTTCTCCCATCCGCGCAGGTACTCTGGGAAGGGGCAGGGCTCAGATGGGGAGCCCCTGTGAGGGGAGGGCTGAGGGGGCTCTGAGAGCAAGCAGGGGGCCCAGGCAGGAGAGCAGGGACAAGGGACTGAACGGAGACAAGGATTGTACTCAGCGTCAGAGCTCTTGCTTAAAATACTAGAGGCGCCAGGCTCAGTCCGTAATGTCACCACAAAGGGTTGAGGCAAAGGGTGATTGAATGTGGGGTCAGGAGATAAGCTAGGAAGGCTGGCCGGGTAAAGTGCTTACCGTGCATGAGTGAGGGCCTGAGTTTGGATCCCCAGCACCTCAGAAAAACATCGGCACAACTGACACTGAGGAACAGAGACAGATGGATTCCAAAGCTCACTGCCCAGCCACCCTCGCTGAATTGGGGCATTCCATGTTCCACGTTCTACAGGAGACCCTGTCTTAAAAAATCAGATAGATTGGGGCTGGAGAGATGGCTCACCAATTAAAAATGGTTGCTGCCTAGTTTATTGCCCAAAACTTACATTAGTTCCTAACACCCATGCCAGGTGCCTCAAACATAACACACACGCAACACATACATACACACCATATATACACACACACCACACACATACACACCTTACACACACACACCACACACACATACATACCATACACACACCACACACACATACATACCATACACACTCCACACATATATACACACATACACACCATACACACACACACCACACATACACACCTTACACACACACACCACACACATACATACTATACACATACACCACACACATATATACCATACATACACACACCACACACATACACACCATACACACACACATACATACCATACATACACACACCACACACATATACACACACCACACACACACACACCATACACACACACACCACACACGCGCGCGCACGCATGCACATACACGTGTTTGAGATGAGAGGAGATCATGCATGGCGGTGCATGCCTGTAACCCCATCCTTTGGAAGGATGCTGAGGCGGGATGATGGAGATGAGCCTTGGTTAACAAGTGAAGCCGTTTTAAAACAAATGGAATGATGGGAGGATGAGTTTCTGGGCACCCAAATGGTAGCCAGACACAGGAAACAGGAGCTGAGGAATATGGAGGAGGAGGGCTTGGAACCCAGGGCTGGGGTCCTCTGGAGGTTGGGGAACCCAAAAGCCCCAAAGCTCAACATGAGTGCTTTCTGTTAGGGTGGGGTGTATACATACATGAAGGTGAAACACTCACACATAAAATAAGAAGAAGGTCATCTTTTGGGGCTGGAGAGGTGGTTCAGCGGTAAGAGGGCTTGCTGTTCTTCCAGAGAACGGGAGCTTGGATCCCAGCGCCCATGTCAAGTGGCTCACAGCCATCGCTAACTCTAGCCCCAGGTGACCTGATGCCTTTGTCTCGCACACCTATGCAGACACAGCTATACATAGTTGAAACAATATTAAATTCTGTTTCTGTTTTTGTTTTTGTTTTGTTTTGGCTGAACTGGCTCTGTAGACCAGGCTGGTCTCGAACTCAGAGATCCTCCTACTTCTGCCTCCCAAGTGCTGGGATTAAAAACATGGGCCATAACACCTGGCAATATTAAATTATTTTCTTTAAAAAAGTACATTTTTTTTTAATTAATAAGAAAAAGCCAGGTAGTGGTGGCACATGCTTTTAATCCCAACATTCAAGAGGCAGGAGAAGATGGAGCACTGTAGAATTCAAAGCCAGCCAGAGCAAATTCCAGGGCAGCCAGGGCTACGCAAAGAAACCCTCAAAAGAAACAAATATATTAGAAAGATCCGCCCCTTCCCCCTGAACCCCTTCCCTGTTGCCCTCAGGTTCTGGCCGGCAATTGACGATGGACTGAGACGGGCTGCGTATGAACGAGGCGTCAAGGTACGCCTGCTCGTCAGCTGCTGGGGGCACTCCGAACCATCTATGCGGTCCTTCCTGCTCTCCCTGGCTGCACTTCGTGACAACCATACGCACTCTGACATCCAGGTGGTAAGCACCCATCCCAGAGTACCCTTCTCCACTGTCCTGGGAGCACATCCACATGAACCATGAATATTATGACAAGGACGCCCCAGAGTGTGCAGCCGTGAGGGGAACTGAGTCATGGCTCAGATGAGTGGGGGGGGGCAGGGTACAGATAGGTTTGTCATTGAGGTGGGGAGCCACAGGCAGAGGGGCGAGATAGGGTGAGATTGACAAGAGAAAGCACTTACCATACGGTGGTGTTTAAGAAAGACCTTCTGGGCTGGGCAGTGGTGGCGCACGCCTTTAATCCCAGCACTTGGGAGGCAGAGGCAGGCGGATTTCTGAGTTCAAGGCCAGCATAGTCTACAGAGTGAGTTCCAGGACAGCCAGGGCTACACAGAGAAACCCTGTCTCGAAAAAAAACCCAAAAAAAAGAACGAAAGACCTTCTGGGGCTGGAGAGACGGCTTAGAGGTGAAGAACACTGGCTGCTCTTCCAGAGGACCAGATTTTGGCTCTCAGCACCCCATGTCTGATTGCGCACAACGGCCTCTAAGTCCAGCTCCAAGGAATCCCATGTCCTCCTCTGGCCCCTGTGAGCACGAGTACGCGCACACATCCTCTCCCCCACAACACCCCCCCTCTCATATACATAAATTTAACATTTTTAAAAATAAAACAGAATGGGGAGAGACAGAAGTAGAAGCAGACTTTCTCTAGAAAAAGGGGCATGAGAGATGAGGTTTCAGGATGGAACAAGGGGGTAGGAGCCATTGCGGGTCTGGATCCCCACCCCCACCCCACCTCAGCTGCTGTTTACTGAGGACCAGCTGTACTCGGCCCTATTTTGGTCCAAGGTTCCACCCATCGCAGGGAAGCAGCCAAGTGCCTTTTGGAGATACCATTTACATGCCTACCCTGCCATCCCAGAACTTCTCAGAGCTAGCCGACCTGCGCCTTGAGCCCTTGTCAAACCCTCCTCCCTTCCCCTACAGAAACTGTTTGTGGTCCCTGCGGATGAGACCCAGGCCCGAATTCCCTATGCCCGCGTCAACCATAACAAATATATGGTGACTGAGCGTGCTACATACATTGGTAAGTGCCCCCCAGTACCACAGGCGTATCAAAAAAGGGAGCGCCCGGGCACGAGGGCCTGGCCACCCGTCAGACCCTTACTCCACCCCTTGCTCCCAGGAACCTCCAACTGGTCTGGAAACTACTTCACAGAGACAGCAGGCACCTCCCTGCTGGTGACACAGAACGGGCACGGCGGCTTGCGCAGCCAGCTGGAGGCTGTTTTCCTGAGAGACTGGGAATCCCCTTACAGCCACGATCTCGACACCTCGGCCGACAGTGTGGGCAATGCCTGCCGCCTGCTTTGAGGCTCAGCCCGATGGACAGGCCAAAGCCTTCCAGGCCCCCCTGGACTCAGCTCTGGGTCCTGGTTGCTGTCCCTGTGCTCTTGCTTCTGTCTCTCCCATTGTGGCTCTATACTCTCCACTATATTCCCATCGCTACCTCCACCTCCACTGGCCTGACACTCTGGCCCCTGTGGACCTAGCAGAGCTGGGGGAGGATCAGACCCCAAAGAAGTGGGGGTGCATGCTGGGCCCAGACCTTTGGCCCACCCCCCAAAGGGGCCGAAATTATAAGTAAATATTTGTCTGTATAGCCTGTGCTTAACTGAGTGGTATGAGATGCTATGTTCTTAGGGGACACGGGGCATGGACTTCTGCTGGTGACAACTTAGCATGCAATGCACACAAAGGCAGGCATGGCCTGGGCGTGCAGTTTGAGGCCACACTGGCAAGCATGGGCCGAGCATGCGCGGAACCAGCATGTTTATACTGAGCATGCGCCACAGGGCAATGTGGGCAGACCCACTGCTGAATACCACTGCTGTTGGGGGTGGGGATGAGGAGGGCAGGTGGCGGCTGGACTAACATATCTGAACACCAGAGCATGTGCATATGTGAACAACACAGCATGTGCCAGGTCTGAATTTATTCCCACCAGTGTGTTTACACTTAGCATGTCCGGAGCGTGAGAGAGCGAGTGAGCATGCCCAGTCCACTACAGACATAGAGGACGAAGCCAGTAGTGCTTGGCAAACTCAGATGGTCACATGTCGGACAAAGAGAACATCCTGAGAGTAGATTCACAAAGAGTCAGGCCCTTACCTCACCCCCGTCTCCCCCAAAACCCCGTTTTGAGACAAGGTCTCACCATAAGCTAGACTGGACTTGACTTTGTATGTGGAATTATAAACCCTCTCCACCATACCAGGTTTCATTTAGTGCATATAGAGAACAGGTTTCTTTTCCCAGCCAGTAGCCAACCAGTCACAGCATGGGAGAGGCCGGCCCTGGGTGCCAGCATGGCCCAATATGGGTGGTGCAGGTTTACCCAGTGGTAACAGGCAGGAGCAGGGTTTGGAACAGTTATTTATTGAAATACACAGAGGCAGGCAGGCCCAGGCACACTCATGGCCAGTGGGGTGCAGCCTCTTCCCGACTCACTGGCCTCAGGGCTTCGGGCCAGACCCTGACGACCTCCAACATTTAGGGTGGGATACAGGCATGTACCTGGGGCAGGGAAATAGGAACATTCTGGATTTCTATTTTTCTGTAAGAATAATCTGTAAGTTCAGAGGATGGCTCTAAGGTGCCATTTCAGATCAAGAGGGGGGACGCCAGCCCAGCTAGCTCAGACCCCATGAAACAATAGGGGTGAGTCCCCATCAGTGGTGCCCTCCAACGTGCTGCAGAAAGCTGGTGGTCCTGGGTGGCCCATGTGCGTGAGGATGGCGAGCTGGGAGCCCTTGCGCTCGAGACCCCCGGATGCCCTCTAGGGTCCATTCTGGTTCATTCAGCCACTCCCCCGGACAGCTGCTGGGATCAAAGAGCTCAGGGCCTGGCCTCTGTGGAAGGGAAACGAAAAGAACATCAGCAAGAAGTACAGGTACCTGCCAGTATGTTTACCTGTCTACTAGGAGGGGTGACCAGGTATGTAGGCCCTCACCCCCTGTGTAAGCTTTCCCACGTTGCAATAAGGTATTAGGGATAGAAGCCTGGGCAGACCAAGGCAAATGCTCTGCCTCCAGACCACACCCTAAGCCCCTCACTGGGGATTCTAGGCAGGGGCTCTATCACTGAGCCACGCCCCCAGCCCCTCACTGGGGATTCTAGGCAGGGGCTCTATCACTGAGCCACGCCCCCAGCCCCTCACTGGGGGATTCTAGGCAGGGGCTCTATCACTGAGCCACGCCCCCAGCCCCTCACTGGGGGATTCTAGGCAGGGGCTGTACCACTGAGCCACGCCCCCAGCCCCTCACTGGAGGATTCTAGGCAGGGGCTCTACCACTGAGCCACGCCCCCAGCCCCTCACTGGGGGATTCTAGGCAGGGGCTCTACCACTGAGCCACGCCCCCAGCCCCTCACTGGAGGATTCTAGGCAGGGGCTCTACCACTGAGCCACGCCCCTAGCCCCTCACTGAGGGATTCTAGGCAGGGGCTCTACCACTAAATTATATCCCCAGTCCCTCACATTGCTAAGCACTCTGTGCGCCACTCCAGGAGAGTCCCCGGTCTCTCACTCGTTGATACTAGGGAAAGACTGTACTGCAGGTCTAAATCTGTAGCACTCTTGGTGAGGAGGCAATGTCATTGTTTGCTTTTTGAGAGAGAGTCTTGCTATGGCTCTGTCTTTTTGAGCCGTAACAAGACTCTCTCTCAAACTAGACTTGACCTTGAGATGACCCTCCTGTTTCAGCTTCCTGGGATACCAGCCAGCACCTCACCCATTCCTTAACAAGGCCATCACTAGGTGTCTGTTTTCTGTACCATCCTTAATTAGAGTTAGTATAAGCCGTGTCCTGTCCTGAGGGTGTTGGAGTGAGCTGAGCTTTGTCACCTCGTGCAGGAAGTCAGTGTTTACTGAGTCTCAGGCCTGTGTTGAGATGACGAATGCCCCAGCTGTAGGAAGCACACGGCCCTGTCACCTGTGCACCGCCATCGATTAAGCTCTGGGTGCCAGTCTGTGTACCCTACTTACCTCAGCATCCATGGGCCTGTCTTTGATCCCGGGCCCATCTCCCTCCCGTTGTGGGATGACAGATGGCTCTGTGGAGGCCGTGCGGCCTTCTCCTTCTTCCCAGCCACTGCCCCTACAGGGCCCGGCATCCTCAGGTGAGGCCTGGCTCAGCCGAATGAGGTTACTAAAGTTGGAGTCAGATTTGGAGCCTGCTGGGACCTTGCGAGCCTTATGGCGGCCAGTCAAGCGGCTGCCATAGAAGGCCAGGATGGGCTCCGGGCCCGAGTCGGGGACTCGGTGGCTGGTGCTGGCAACTTTGAGTGGGGCCAGCATGTCAGAGACCATGTCGGCCCGTGTGTCTCTCCACAGCCCCCGTCTGGCCTCCTGCAGACTCAGGTCATCGAGCTGGTCGATGGCTCTCTGCATCCCCAGAGCCTTGTCCTCCCGGAAGAAGGACCCACTGCCCGTCACACCACCCAGGCCTGCAGTCTCCTCCTCCTCAGCCAGGCGGTAGTAAGGAGGCCCGTCCTCTGCGCTGGCAATGACAGGTGGGGGTGGCTTGCCATCCACCTGCAGGGACAGCCGACAGCCGCGAAGTGACAGCTGGTAGTAGCGGGTGGCCTCGTGGGCGCTACGCAGCTGTTGCATGGACACGAAGGGGTGGCGCAGGGCCGCGCTGGGACTGATGCGTTCGTGCGACTCCCATGTCAGCATGCGTTTGATCAGCTCCACCATGCTCTTGAGATCCGCGTGTTCCGCCAGTGCCTCCCGGTCTGGAAAACTCAAGCGACTCACAGCCCCACCGCCATTCACGGTCTCAATCTGGTCCAAGGATTTGAGCATGTACTTGCGGCGCTCCAAAGGGCGTACCTGGTGGGGCATGGGGGACACCAGCCGGATGTGTATCTAGACTCAGAGCTCCCAAAAATCACCCGCTGTGGGGACCAAGTAGGATCCCCCTGACTTCTGCCCATGATCTGACTGGAAGCTCTCTTGGTGCTTCAATTCTCCCTTGTACCAGATTCTTGATTTCCAACCCATCGCTCTCCCGCTGCTACAGGGAGGATCTGTGACCTAACTCTACCTCCACCCTTCACCCAAACCTTCACCAGCCAGAGAGACATGGCTGTGACCTTCAGTTTGGCTGTCCCACGAGACTTGTGGGTCTACCCCAGTCTGACAACCAACCAACTCTTAAGTTTCTGGTCTTGCCCAGGGTCTAAACCTGGATTGTTCTTGATACAGTATTCCCCCACCACCACCACCACCGCCAGCACGGACTGTCTTCACCCTGCATGCTCCTCTCATACCTTGGTCTCAGCTAGGTAATCAGCAGAGGACTTCAGCTGCCAGGGGTTGGTGGCGTCAGGGTGTGGGTTACGTTTGAAGAAGTGGTGAGCCTTGCGGGCCGCGTGCAGCAGATGGGGCTTGGGTAAGCCCTGGGTCTCACAGATGTAGCGCACCTGGTCATACTCATTGTTGCCTGGGTAGAGAGGCCAGCCCAGATGTAGCTCGGCCATGACACAGCCCAGAGACCACACATCCACTTTCTCACAGAAGGGCAATCCCAACAGGATCTCTGGGGCCCTGTAGAAGCGGGACTGGATGTAAGGCTCCTTCACATAGCGCACCTCACTGAATATGCTGGCCGAGCCAAAGTCGATCACCTGTGGAGGGCAGAGGGGATGGAACACAGGACAGGTGGGTCATGGGGGTGGTGGAGATGACAATATGAGGCCTCTCTTGGGACTCATCTGCGCGTTTCTCCAACGTCTGCCTAGCTCTGTGCCTTCCACACTTCCTTTCTTCTGAATGTCCCTGTCTCTGTCCTCTAGCTATTGCTTCTGGGTTAGGTGTCGAGTCTGGCTCTATGTCTGATTCTCTGTGCTTGAACTTGTACCTATAATAGTTGGGACCCTCCCCCTGCCTGCAGTGCACAGTACACAGTAGGCAACTATTCTCTCATATCCCCTAGCCTTTGTTTGTTGGTTAGCTTTGAGACAGGGTCTCATGTAGCCCAGGCTGGCTTCAACCTGGTTATGTAGCCAAGAATGCCCTTGATTTCCTGTTCTCCTTTCCTGAAGGGCTGGGATTATAGGGGGTTATAGCAATGCATCACCATACCCAACTTCCAGCTGTGATTTTAACATCATCTCACATGCTATATATTTTGTGTGTGTGTGTGTGTGTGTTGGGGGGCATGATATGCATATGTGGGTGTCATCACCCATGTGTGCATGTGTAGGGCCAAAGATCCTCTATCTTCCTCTACTGCTGTAACCTTATTTTTTTGAGACAGGGTCTCTCCATGAGACCTGAAACCCACTACTTTGGCAAGATACCTGGGCCACTGAGCCCTCGGGCTCTTCTCGACTTCCCTTATAACCCCTTGGCCCTGGGATTATAAGGACAAGCTCAACTTTTATGGCATTGCTGGGGATCTGAAGTTAGGCTCGTCTGCTTAATGTGCAGCAAGTACTTAACCCGCCGGGCCTGAGAGAAGGCTCAGTGGTTGAGATCCCTCGCTGCTCTTGCAGGGAATCCAGGTTTGGCTCCCAGCACCCACATGGCAGCTCACACCAGTCTGTGACTCTAGTACCAGGAGATCCAAAGCCCTCTGGCCTCTTGGAACACCATACATTCATACCCAG